AACAGACAGCAGCTGTGCCTGTGAACACAAGAGCCTCTCTCATCGTGAGCTCTGTACACTTATCTTATTATTCGAACAGAACCCAGTTGTTACTGTAGTTTGTGGCTAGCGTTCCTACATACAAGATGTAAATAAGTTAATTATAGAACAGCTGGAAGTCAGATTTGTCATCTTTTGATGACGTCTATGTGTTTCTATTCTGGTATTACCAAATGGTGTATGAACAAATGCCAATTTCTTGAGTCAATTTTGTTGTTTTGTTATCATACTTTTCTTATTTTTGGGTGTCATTTGATGCTGGATTCCCAGATGAAGTGCTACTTAAGTTACACATAGGGATGAGTTCAGGGTTGATTGGTGGGTCAAAACATGACTTTCACCAAGAACACTTCTAACTGTGTCCCTTACTTCAGTGACTATTTACTTATACTTACATCACATATGTTTTTTTTTTAGCTACTTAGTCATGGTATTGATTAAACATCAACATATAACATGTTAATTAGTAAGCTTTACAGGAGCTTGTAGGCAAATGTTGTTACATATGACCCTTGTCTTCAGCCTTAATGCTAAGCTAAGCTAAGCTAACCGGCTGCTGACTGTAGTTTTAACGTAAGGACATAAGTGTTATTAATCTTCTCATCTAAAAAGTGTATTCAAATATACACAAAATATATTAATATTCCTTTGAATGTAATAATGCTAACGTGAAGAGAAATGTATCACTATAATAGCTATACAATTAAAAGGCTAGTGCCCCAGTAGATGGTAAGAAACAAAATATTAATGCAGGAATGTAGTTTACATTTTAGCCAGCAGCAGTGGCGGTTCCAGACCAATATGACTGGGGGGGCCAGGCTGGGGCCAGTTATTTTCTGAGGGGGGCACAATAAATGCAGGACGAAAAAGACAAAGACAGTATGAAGTAATTGCGCATAAGAAAACAATGCAATACAGTTATTGGTATTTGTTTCATTACAGATACAGTATATATTTCAGATACTTATAGTTACAGTGTGTACGCTCTAATGCAGGGGTCTCCAACCTTTTTTAGGATGAGAGCTACTTTCAAAAATAAAACAAGTCGTGAGCTACTTTTACTCCTCTTTTGTTGTTTTTTGCAGTGTATATATTTAGCTCATTTTAACATTATTATATGCTTACCTTTAACCTTTGTGCTCTGTTTNTAACCAAAATTGACAAACCTATTTTCGACAGCTTTATCTCTGGGTTGAGCACCATGTGCAGCACATTCCGCAGGCGCTTGTTTTCCTCGTAGTAAGCCTCCACAATAGTTTCTATTTCTCCAAATATCTCCACGGCCGTGGTAGTTAAGCGTTCAGTTAAAAAAGTCCGTAAATGCAGCAGCTTGGTGTTAGACATCTTGAGGACTAACGTAATGTTAGATCAAGATATGTTGTATTTAACTTCTCCTCGACGTCGTACAAAGCGCGTTTCACTCAAACAAAACCATTCGGAAAATTGAAGCGCCTTCTTCAGGACTGCAAGTAGCATCTTCTACTTCTTCTTCTCTCGTTTTTGGCGGATTGCAAACAACTTAAAAGGTGCATACCGCCACCTCCTGTACATGAGTATGAATCATCATATCATTACAACACTCCATTCCCTCTCTGCCTCTAAAACTTTAGCCTTTGGTTTTTCTCTTTCCGCTTTATAGATGTCACAATGTAACAAGATATCTTCTACATCTTCTTTTACTCCACAGTTCCCACAGTTGTCACTGTCACTTTTCCCCATGATATACAGCGTACCATTCAAACCGTGTGATTTATTCTGAGTCTAGCTATCGTGATTTCCTCCCTTCTGTTTATTTCTTTATGAATATTAATTGTAATTGTCTTTTGTACTTTGTGATAGTCTTTGCCTTTCTGGTCTTTCTCCCACCTTTTCTGCCAGATCTCCATCCCTTTCTTCTTAATGACTGCTTTTCCTTCTCCTTTACCAAGTTGAACTGGTAATGTTATTTCCTTTTGTAATGCACTTTTTGCTAATTTATCAGCACACTCGTTCCCTTTCACCCCCTCATGCAGGCACCCAGCAGAACTGCAGATCTATGCCGCTTCTGTGAATTCTTAACAGGTTGTGATTGATTTCTATGAGTATGTCTTCTCTGGCAGTTTTTGTTGACTGTATGCTTTGTAAACTGGATAATGAATCTGTGCATATCACCACCCTATCTGGTCTGACCTCTTCCACCCACTGCAAACCTATCACTACAGCCAGCATTTCTGCTGTATGCACTGAAAGTTGGTCTGACGCTCTTTTTGATATTTAAAATTCCGACACATCGATATACCAATTCCAACACACTCTTCCTTGTTCTTAGAACCATCTTTGTATATTTTGAGGTAATTTTGATAATTACTCCTAGTAAAAACTTGTTTTGAATCCTACTTCATTTATTTGCCACTCTCTTTTCTTTTCTACAATACTCACATCTATATTTACTATTGGAAAGAGCATGGGGGTACACTACTGGATGGATTTGATGGTGAAAACTCTAACTCATGCATGCCATAAGTCCTTATTTTTTCTTTACTTGTCCATCCAAACCCACGTCCCTGAAACTTGGAATATTCCCAGCACTCCTGTAATGTTTTGTTTGTGACAATTTCTCTTGCTTATTGGGTCAGGTTAAAAGGAAGTTTTAAAGTCGGTTTGTTAAAAGTTCCTTTTAACCTGACCCAATAAGCAAGAGCAATTTTCTCTCTTCTTAGTTCCAATGGAGTCTCTCCTGCTTCAACTAATATTGCATTAGTAGGGGTTGACTTAATTGCACCTATACACAACCGTAACGCTTTATATTGGGCAAGTAGCATCAAAGAAATCAATCAAAGATGAGAGTAACACATGCGTCACTTCCGGGCAAAAATGACGGCTCCGCCCACTTTTGGGGGAAAACAAAGCTGTAATTTGAATGGCAATCAAGCCTGAAGCCACACAGCTCTTCTTTTACTGTCCTTTTTTCTTAGAGGAAGTACAGAAAAACGTAATTCTGGATTTGTTTGAATGTTTGAGGTGCAATAAAAGACACAGCAGCTTTTTAGCATGATAAAACAATTATTTTCCGCCAACGCTCATGAGAGTAACGAGTGTGGACACAGTTACTGTTCCACACGATCGTCGATTTCAAATGATTTAATGTAATTGTTTGCCTGACTGGTCATCGTAATCGGGCTCTTTGAAGATCCAAAAATCCACGGTTTTCAAAACATTTCTGATCGGATTGGCAAAAACATCAGAATTTGTATTGACCGCCATTCAAATGACAGCGTTGTTTTCCCAAAAAAGTGGGCGGGGCCGTAATTTTTGCCCGGAAGTGACGTAGGTGTTACTCTCATATATACAATGGTGCAGAGTCATAGAGGGCTCTGCAATGGTGTAAAACTATTTCCTTACTTTTAGGGCACTACAAAGCATATTACTATATTTAATTAAAAAATATCCATGATAAGTATTTATTATTGTAATTATTATAATATAATTTTCATTTTCATTTCACAGTATCGAGGCAATTTCACATGAAATACAATTTTTAAATGCTATACAAAGATATACACACTTGTTGATTTATTTGAATATTTATTACCATATATCACATCACATGTTACAAGCGCTAAGCTACCATCTGTTTCTATTAAAATAAACATATAAAGCTACAATGAATAAAGCAGTGGCGATTCTAGACCAATATGACGGGGGGGGGCAGGCTGGGGCCAGTTATTTTCTGAGGGGGGCACAATAAATGCAGGACGAAAAAGACAAAGACAGTATGAAGTAATTGCGTATAAGAAAACAATGCAATACAGTTATTGGTATTTGTTTCAGTACACATATTTATTTCAGATACTTATAGTTACAGTTTTTACGCTCTAATGGGTCCGACTAGAATGACAAATAGCGTTAGTTCCACCTATTCCGTCAGCCATGAAATCGTTTAATCATAAACTTTTTTTTCTTTTTCATTTTCAGGGCCACAGGGTGGTCCAAAGTCAGTGTTAGGGGGGCACTGCCCTAGAACCACCCCTGCTTAAACGTGACTTCAGGTATGGGAAACAAACATTCTGGACCTCATCTCCACTGTTGAGGATCATCGCTTCTTCTTCAAGCTAAGTAACATGCTGTGACGTCTTCCATAATATTCTTCACATCATTTCTCATATATTGCAGCGTAGTTTAGTGCTTTAACTCTGCTGTTATGCATCTGGTCAATGTACCCTTTTAAACAGTGACCAGATGCATAACAGCAGAGTTAAAGCACTAAACTACGCTGCAATATATGAGAAATGATGTGAAGAATATTATGGAAGANCAAAGAAATCAAACGTCTCAGCCTTAATATCTTTATTAACAATCTGCACATATTGTACATCTATTGGGTGTTTCATCTGTGAAATGTCTAAAAAAAAGTGTGGACATTTCCCATCATGTAATCCTACAGAACAAACCAAGATTATTTTCAATATACTGTCAGATAAGATTACACATTTACACATTTTAGAGGTGTGAAGAAGAAGCCCTCATCACAATTGGCATAGGGGCATGGTAAAAGGCACACTGAGGGAAACACATTAATAACTTAGCTGGACATTGATAAAATAAAACCCAAGTCATCTTTTGTTCAAAACAGATTTATTGGAAGTCATATACAAGTAACCTGCTTACCCTCTCCTTCAAGGTTGTGAAGGCCAAACAGAGCAACAGAAAGAAGCAGCCTTAAGTAGAGGCTCAATCATTGGGAACACCTGTGCTCAATTGGAGCACACCATGTAGTGCATGGGCACGGGTGGCACTTTTCTTGAGAGTGTAAACATTTTATTGTTTGGGGCTTCTGTGGTCAGAGATATGGAATATGTTGGCCTGTTTGATTTGTTGTGTTTGGGTAATTTGCCTTGCATTTTGAATGTGTTTGTAGATGAGAAAGACATTGGTTAGGGGTATAAATAGTGGATTGACCTAGGGGGAGGAGCTTAACGTGTATAAACCCCTGGCCACAAGTGTTTTGAGAGTTAGTCTGACTGTGGCAGGAGAGCAGAGAAGAGAGGTCCCAGTCCTATGTCCTATGTCCTCGACCTGTACAGATATATTGAGGTTTGGTTTTCTTTATCTAAATCCTTGTGACTTTGTGTTTTTCAGCATTGTTGGCTGTTAATAAAAGCACCTAAGGACCATTTGTTTGTGACTCTAGCCAGCTTATTTAATCCCTAGTTTTTTCCATCAACATTTTTGTAACAAGAGGCTAGAACATGGGAGTGTTTTTGCTTAAAAAATGCTTAAATTATTAATAGATGACCAAAAATAGTTGGCAATCATTTTCTAATGACTTAATTTGGTCCGTTTAGTAATACTCAGACACAAGCTGTACTGCAACACCATAATAACTGTGATTAACATGTTTTATTTCCTCAGGGCTCCATGTTGCGACCAAGGGAACACAGTGATGAATCGGCCGACAAGAGGCCTTCTGATGGCTCTGCTTCTCCCTCTCTGGTACATCATGTTCTCACATGTCTCATGAAACCCTTTTAGACTCGTTTTAGTTCCACGGTGTGATAAATAGTTTTACATCTGTATAAACAGGATAAGAAGAGGCTGATCAGAAGAGTGAGGAGTCCATCCAGACCGAGGGCGTGGCTGTCTAATTCTTACAAACCAAAATTTGGGGCGCGAGTCCAAAGACGGTAAGACTGACTGCTTGAGTACAGCAAGTTTGTATTTTGTTTTCCTCCCAAACATTCATTTACTTTTTGCATTTTTCCCCCTCTCAATTTATGCAATTTTTAAAGGGAGGACCACTTCTACAAACCTGGCTTTGCAAACCAGAAGTACCAACACTTAAACCACCGGGGTAACTTTCACCGGAGGGGTCATTTCCATCCTAAACTTCACCAAGCCTCACAGAGGGAACGGGAGGAGAAGGAGCGGTATGAGCCGAGAGAAAGCGGTGAAGGCGGTTCACCTTCAAAACAAAACAGTAAGTTGGTGCAGCAAACATCTGTGAAAACCACATGAATACACCGATTATACAATGTTCACTATTGGACCAACATGTGTTTATTTATAGTTTGGATTCTACTCTTTGGTTTACAATTAAAGTCAATATAGATTGTACAACATACAATCATATTTAAGACATTGCAGAGGATACACTTTCCCTGTTACAATATAAAAACTCCCCTTTGCACAAAGGGAGGTTTATAAACAAATGGTTGTCAGAGAGGGGTTAGGAAGAACTGAGAGACCTCCCTACGAGCGAACATCTCTGGCAATGCATGTGAAGGCCTCAGCTCTTCTTTATACTCCTTGTAGCTTGTAATGACAAAGGCCTCATTGACCCTGAGTCAGGTACATAATCACTGCGAGACATGGACTTGAGACAACTGGGATTTTACAGGTGCAAAAGGGTTTGATTAAGATACAATTATAAGAACTGCTGTTGTAAAACTGCTTTATTTTAGACTACGATTCTCAGTGCTGTTGGGCAATGTGTGAGGCTACAGGACTTTATTACTGATGAAAGGTCAAACCAGGCTATTGCACAGATTGTGTCCTTGGACTTTGATCTTGACACTAAAGACGGTCCCACTGAGCCACAAATATGTCTTGTCGTTTGTTGTTGTCCATCAACATTTAGTGTTTTAATTAAGGGTTTTGCATGATTGGGACCATTTACACTTAGCACGACAGAAAATACCCACATTTCCCAAATTGTGAAACTACTCTAAACAACTAACTACTAGAAGTAATGCCTATGTTTTTGGGATAAGCTGTTGAGGATAATTCTCGCCATTACAATATAAAGCACTGCATACATCCTGAACATAAACAGATATTTATATCCTGTACATTAACATAAGAGGACGCCCTGCCTGTCACACACTGGTATAGTGGCTAAACACATACACACATATAAAACAGTTCAAACATACACACTTAAAAAGATTACCCTTAAACCAAAAAAACTACAAAAAATGTTGAAAATGTTTTTTGTTGTCATCCCTCGTACATGAATATACACTATATTGAAACATGTACGTCACAAGCTGTACAGTTTCACTGTGCACTTTATTAAATGACCATCAGGTGGCAGTATAAGCAGGCAGGCAGGCACACAAATGCACATTTCCATGGACACTTTGCATTACAAATATTTGGAGGGCATTTGCTCATGGTTGGTAGGTAGTCACAGTGATGGCAACAAACCAGTGTTATATAATGCTGACCAAAAAGAAGCTGTTCCTGTTCTAAATAGATGGATTATGTTGTGATGTAGTAGTCCATGCTTTATTCATTATATGTCCCAGGATGTAAACAGTGTAATTTAGTCGTAGGTTTATTAGATACTTGAGAATTACTACTTGACTCATTTGTCAGTGGGAGTCTGGAAGTAAACAGTAGGGGCTCAACAATTGTTACAACCATGTTCCCTTGGGTTTTAACACAAACTGTGAATGTTTTTGTTGATCTTTTCGTCAATACAAAGTGGTTGTTTTTAAGGACTGAGCTGTTGGTACTCTATGTTTTTCTTTTCTTGCACCCAGGCACTGTATCCGTGCGCACACTGCAGCACTGTGGAGGTGTGTGTTTGTGTATGTGTGAGTGTGGAACAGGTTTTTTGTGTGCCTGAGTGATGGTGCGATGATGGTGACTCATCGCTGATTTGTGTGTATGAGCGCGAGAGGGAGAGACTAGCCAGCAGTATGTAATGAGCCATAACAAAACTATTTCTTCACATAGGAATACTGCATTCCATTAATACAACATTTCCTAATGTCAGCAGGTTTTGCTTGAATATGTATCGATTGTTAGACCGTGATACTTCACGACAAAACAAAAACATCACAGGAGGATGGAGAGAAACGAGGGCTTTAATATCAATGGTGGTCTAAAGATACACGTATAAATGCTGTAGGGGCTTATGGGTATGAGAAAAAGAAGGCCATCTCTCCTTTCTCTTGCTGTGTTGTGTTTACCCTGTGGTTTGTCTGTTTTCCAGCAAGCAGATCGTTCTTACCCAGACCCAGCTCCAGCAGGGACAAGGACCCGCAGTTTGTAAGTTCACGAGAAGAAAATAAATCTGCTCTGCTTTTCTCTTCACTGGTTTACCATTTTGCACAAAAAAAAATAGTGGTCCACCATTTTTTACAATTGGAATTCTAAAAATATTTTCCATTTAAGAATTGATGTAATCTAGTGCTGCACTGTCTGAACCTTGTTGTGATGTAATGTATGAAAGCTTTAATTAAAAATAAATATGTTTTTGAAAGGGATTTTCTGTCTTGTGAAAAGAACAACCTGATGAGAAAAAAGGGCTGCACCCTGTGATCGCTATTGATTCATCTGCTGATTTATTTATTTGGTCCTCTCCCAAGACGTCTACACTGAGAAATTGCTTTTTCTAATGTCTGTTTTTGTCGAGTGATATTCAGTTTAAAATTCCATTAAATAGTGTAGTGGGTACACCATTTTTCTTGATCAGATAGCCTCATTAAAAAAGCAAATTGCTTAAGAAGTCATTTACATATTTAACTTTTGACTACATATGCAGTCAGAACAAATTGTGCATTTTATAATAACTTGTTACAAGTCACCATGTGGAACTTCACTTTAGTCATCTTGTGGCCATTAGCAGCTCAGTCATCATCACTTCATCATAATGTTTTTTTGGCCAGCTGTCCGATTACTACGATCCAACTCCTGTCTCTTTTTCTTCTTCAGGTTTATCCGAGCGAGAGGAGCCAAAGCCGAGAGAGCAAAGAAAGAGAACGCAGCAGAGAGAGGGAGCTCCCTTCAACTGCGAGCCATACGGCGACACGAGACAGAGCCATCCAACACAAGAGGAGGGAGATAGATGAGGTAGAGGAGTGTCATTTCATAAACACACACCTTGGAAGAAGGGTTATAAACAGATCGAGGTGAGATAAGAGAAGCTGGGATTAAAGAGTGACAAAGAAAATATGTTAGCGCCGACAAGAGACAAGACAAGAAGATTTGTTTCCTGTAGTCTAAGCATTCATTTTGAAATGTTATTATTGTCTTCACTTTTCTGAGAACTGACAAAAAACATCTTCTCATTATTATGGTGTTTTCTAATTGAGCAAAAACACAACATTGTTTTTTTTATGTAGTCTCACATGCATCATAAAAGGCTCCGACACGTGCCTTAATGCGGTCCTCCAATGTGACAGGTATCACATAATGCTCTGCTCATTGCCGGTGTGTTTGTGAGAGAGAGAGAGAGTGTGTGTTTCCACCCACTTGATGGAAAAGATAGTGTCTTGCTTTTTCATATCTCCATGGTTGCAGGATTATAAAGGTATTCGAGAAAAGCTGGTCAGGCAACAGGTAGCCGATGCAAACATGTCCACAAAGCTCAGCCTCCAGGCACACCATGCTTTGACCATTACTGCAGATTGTTCATGCATTCAGTGGCAATTGGAGATGCATGACTAGACTTCTCACTTTGCTCATTTGTTGTGCTCTCTTCAATGTGTGTGTGTCCTGCAGGTGTATTATCAGGAATGTGAAATGTTTGGCCTTGTGGCAAAGATGCTGATCGCCAAGGATCCGACGCTGGAGCAGTCCATTCAGTCGGCGCTGCAGGAGAACCTCAGGGACATCGGCAAGCGCTGTGTGGAGGGCATGGAGAAATTCATCGAGGAGTACGACTCCAAGGAGCTTCCTCTCTAATCAGAGTCACAGACGTCCCATCATTGATCCTATTGTTGAGAATCTTCTATTGTGTGATTGAACGCTGCTCTTGCAGTTTGTTTTTGTGTTTGCTTGCAGAACTTTAATATGTTTGTACATTGTTGTATGCTGTCTGGCCTTATGGTGAGCAGCACTGGTAAACTGTGATAATAATTCGGACCTTTGATTTTATGTTTGATAATTATAGTGAAAGAATACACTGGTTGTATCACTTAAAGTGTGCTTGTAAAGAAGTCAAAACATTTATTTTGACATGTAAAACTTGCTTTTCAGAATAGTAAATTGTATTTACATGATAATAAACATGTGGTTTGAAAATACTTTCAATGATTTATTCATGGAAATATGTGAAACACAATATCAAGTCATAATAGGAAATACATTAATGGGTCAGAAGCTAACATTGTAATTTACTTGAATTCCTTTGGATGTTTTTGCTTAAGCTGGATGGATAAAGAATGGCCCATATTGGATTGTTATAAATGTCAGCCGATAAATAAGAAATTGCAGCACAGAAATGCCAAATGTATTTTGTAAGTTACTTGGGAACACTCCAAAGTGACAAGTTATATTTTCACATGTAAAATGTTCTGCTCTTTTCATATTGAATTCTTAAAATGGCACTCAAAGATTCTACACTTAAAGTTCAGTTTACTCACCATGATAATGCCTTCTCAGTCTGTAAAAATGGCTTCATTATTTCATCTGTGAATCTGAAAGAGCTTTGTCGAGTCTAAAGAAAACCCTCATGATGTAATTGACGTCATTGCAGCTCAGGCCTGGTGACTACAAATCTATAACAAAGTTTGTGTTACAAACTGGTGCTGTGGAGAGAAAGATTGGTGTTAACCAGACATAGAGGGTCAAATGAGAGATGGTATCCAGTTGCATTATGGGAATTATAGGATCAAGTATTTTTGAGCCTGACACATAACAAGTAGGATGTTATTTGCGAGTACTCCTTCAAATGAACAGATTTAGCTATCCATATGGTGAAGTTATGGTGTGTATCTGTTGGGCTCTGGTTTGATCACTGGCTAACATTACAATAACATACTAGTGGCATGGTGGGTACAACGTTTTGGTCTAGACTAATATCCCAAAATTAATATTTGGATTGCCATGAAATGTGGTACAGACATCCATAGCGGATCTTAGAACAGCAAACTCCCTTGAAATGTTTAAAAACGTTTTTAATATGTCTTTTAATTTGGGTTAACTTTCAATTGTCACTAGTATCATTGTTCATGTTTTACTGTATTTTATTTTCTGTTTTGCTTTTATTTTACATTTTTAATTTTGTTTTTTAAATTGTTTTATTTTAACATATCACTGTAGATGTTTTATCTTGTTCTGTATTAATTTTAATATTGTTGTTATGTTTTCTGTAAAGCACTTTGGGCTGCTTTGTGCATGAAAGGTGCTATACAAATAAAGTTTATTATTATTATTATTATTATTATTATAGTAACCAGAGGATTAATCATATTACACTTGATTAGTATTCCTCTAACTGTCAACAGGTCAAAATGTGTCCATTATTTTGTTTAGGACCAAATCCTCATCAGCCTCAGCTATACTTTTTTTGATAGTGCTTGTCTGCACCTGCGAGCAGCTCCTACGTTTCCCTGGAACATTGAATTGTGGGACAAAAGGCCTTTTTTTTACAGCAGACATCTTGGCATGTCACAGCAGGGAAAGCAGTAGGTGTGATTGATCAAATTAATCACAACAGCTGCAATCCATTCAGGTGAGCCAGTTTCAGCTTGCAGGTATTGTATGCTGCGTCGTAGGGACAACTGATGGAACTGAGCCATGGTGTTGATTGGTCTACTCCCGCTACGGTGACTCAAAATGGCTGCCTTTAATTTGTCTTCAATTCACAAAGTAATAGTGACTCTTCTCAGTTGAAGCACCTGCTATAAATAATATGCATCACGGATATGGGGCACAGCCAATGTGTCACTCCAGCCGACCAATGAGAACAATTTATATGTACAACTTGCTGGTTGTTCATTGAAGTACACTTTATTTTCATTATGGATAACAACAACAAATCAACATGCAAGTCTCCCTATCTCTACATCATGTTATACAAATAATGATTCTTTAGTTACAAAATATATAAATATTTAAGACCATATGTACAGAACATTTACATTACTACATCCATTAATTTATTAAGTTTATTACTGTATATACATTAAACAGCTTTTATTTCTGTAATATTCTCATATTATTATTTGCATTTTTATGATTATAAGCATTATTTTTAATTATTATTATTATTATAATTCTTAATCATCTAAGGGTAACTCTCAAAAAAACAAAGCATGTTGCAGAAGAGAAAACGGGACCATACCTGACGTTACTGTGCCTAAATGTTCAAGGATCAGAGGCCGTGTGGCGCTCTGTCCTTGGTAAAGCATGGAGAGCCGGCTATGTAGAGCACAAAGTTCAACAGACTATTTGTACAAGGTGATAACAGGGCTAGCGAGCTAACACTATATTCCAGCAGCATTTGGATCCCACTGAGGTAAACAATGACATAGCTTGGAATCTAGCACGTAACTTTCACTATCCCAACACAATTTCTCGTTTGTCCTCATAGAATACGTTTTTCTGCCCAGGGATTGTTGGATCTCTGAGCTGCGACAGTCAGATCGCTGCACTCCCACCATCTTTACTTCCCTTTTTCAAACTCTGAAGGAAATGTCCGATCTCTCTGTACCAGGGATTCATGCACGGACGGGCCCGGAGATCGTGTTATTTACCTTGACCACATTATATTTAGTAGTCAAATTCATCAGTGCTTGCTGGTACCATCAGAGGAGTTGATCTCTATCATTGTAAACATTTCTGTTGTGTAAGCCAGCTGAGCTTCCTCTTATGATTAGATCATCCTGTGTAGGTGTACACAAACACTACCCGGTGTAGAGTTGTGTAAGCGCACATGCACACAAAACTGGCCTTTTCTCTCTTCCAACCTAACACACACACACACACACACACACACACACACACACACACACACACACACACACACACACACACACACAATTCACTCTCGCTGACAACTGTCTCACTCTCACCTTCCCACTCTCTCTGTTTCACCTTCTTTGTTGCTTTAACCATCTCCTTACCTCTCATTCTCTCATCTCTTTCACTCTCCTGTTCATCCCTCACCATCCCCTTGCCCTATATCTAAGAAAGTATGCAGTTTTTGCTCTTCCTCCTTTGGCGGTTGTGCATCTGGCCATGAATCGGCCCGTGCACAGGTCCGTGGTGGGGAGCTATCCCAGAGGGACTGTAACGATGGCGCAGCTCCTCGTTGTTGAGGTAGCAAAGCTGCACGGGCCGAGGAATTGGTTCACCCAGGAAATAACCTTCATCTGCCTCAGACTCGGAGGAAGAGGAGCAGCTGGAGCACCATGGGTCAGCAGCCTCCATGTGACCGTCGCCCCAGCACTGACCACCCAGCCCCGGGGGTTGCCAGCCAGCATTCTGCAGGGTGAGATCAGAGGTGGTGCGGGGGCAGGGTCGTTGGGGCTGCTGTCTGTACCCGCCGGGCTCCAGACCGAATAACTCCCGAGCGGCGTTACCAGCGGGGAAGCGATCGTAATCCTCCTGGACGCGGCGGTAGGGCAGCTCCACCATCTGAGAAGGACGGTCTGCCACCAGGTGCAGTGCGTTGTCAGAGCGGGAGCGACGGGAGCGTTTGTGATGGCGGCTACTGCGGTGCTGCCCGTTGCCGTGATTTCCACGGTGGTGTTTGCGGCGTCTTGGTTGTGGCTGCTGCTGCTGTTGCTGCGTCACAGGTTCCTGCCCGTTGATGCGTCTGCGGGGCATTCTGTCGCTCATTGGAGCCATCCGCAGGTTTCCACTGCTGCCCATCACCCCAACGCGACCTTTGCCATCGAATCCCAGCGGCTGTGGGCCATCCCAGTACTGCAGCGGGTAGCCGACCCTCAGCGGACCGTACATGTTGCTGTTGTAGGGCCGGGAGGAGGACAGAGACTCTGTGCTGTGGAACTGGACTGAGGAGCTGAGGGTGCCCATGTGGCTCTTTTCAGAAACGTTCACACCCGAGTCTTTACTCAGGTCGGGCATGGAGAACCTCGACAAATGCTCCTGGCGCTTAGTGACCCCGTCCAGAGAGTTACCTGCTAAAAGCATAAATCATATGTCACCTTACTATATAATTCAGCATTTAATCTCATGGAAACATACTGGATCATGTACATCAATTTACCTGTAGCATTGGACATAGTGAAGGAGTCCATGGATCCACGAGGAGTCTGTTCTAGAGGAGTGAGGGGCTCGTTGAAGCTCATGGCGTTGATGGGGTTCCTCCTGGTCAGAGGGGGTCTGCCGTCTCTCTGGAATCCATGCAGGCTGATGCTCCTCTTGTCAGAAAATCCCTGATTCTGGCTGGGCATCTCGTTGAAACTCATCTGGGTGCGAAGCTTGTTGGGCCTGAACTCATCCTGGCTGTGGTGGGTCCAGTTCTCGTTAAAGGAGTGGCCCCTCAAAGCAGCCATGGGAGTCCTCTTGGCATTGCCTTGTTCCTTCCCCCAGGAGTCAGGCCTTTTCCCTGGATTGGAAGCAGTCTGAGCTGGAGGATGAGCATTTGCGTTTGGATTGTAGCCCTGCCTGGGGTTACACTGAGCCAGCAGATGTATAGGTGCGGGTGTAGGTGTGGGTTCTAGCTGGGGCCCCTCATACACGGCAGGGACGTAGGGGTCATCGCGGCTCATCCACACCTGGTTAAGGCTCGGGGCACGGCTTGGAGTGCGGCTGGGCGTGCGGTTAGGGGTCCTGCTCGGGGTCTGGCTAGATGAGAGGCTTAAACGGTCCATCTGGCCGGAGAGGGGTTCAATTTCAGCAGACAGACGGTCGGGCATGGGGGGGGGAGCTGACTGGCGGGGCTCGGCACTCCGCTCGGCATTCCTGCGCTCATTTTTGCCAATCTTGGTGCTGTGGCGGGATTCACGGGACCGGGCGCTTTGGAAGGCAGAGTCGGAGGAGTCAGACTCATCTGGATCCTGATTGGTTCAAATGAAACACATAAGTACAATTATTACCTGCTAATATCTAGACATTAAGAATAGATTGTTTGGGCTTTACAGAAAATATAGGCAGAAGGGATGTTCATAATGGTCACAAGTGATGATTGAGAGGCATTATCTTTCAAATGTTTTTAACCTTCAATGTATGTTTAAATGATCCAATAATATATAATCCCATGTCCTGTCTTTGGTGACCCACCTGTCCAGCGCTGCAGGATCGTGAGCAGAAGATCTGCCCCTGCTTTGGCAGAAAGGGGCGGCCCAGCAGAGAACGCTTGCAACGGGCACAACAAAAGCACTCCTCGGTGGCGTGCCAGTGCTGCCCATCATAAGTCATCTGGCCTTGGTCAATGCCTTTGGTAAGATGTAAAAACAAATATCATTTTATAAGATAACATACCAGAAGTAGGTTTATTAGTAAACGCACAAGCAGTCCAGCTTTAACTGATATAAAATGGTAATGTGATGGCAGCTTCTCCAATAATACTGAAAATGTTATTCTACAAAGCCTGAGCGGCTAATGAACCGCTGACTACAGCCTGATATTAGCCAGTATGTTGAGCTAATTTGAGTGAGATTTGCAATTTAGTGCTGAAATGGACTTGAAAAAAACAAAAGTATAAACAGAGGTTTTTTTCTTCTAAAGGAAAACATTTCTGTGCCCATACACATGAATGCTCGATTTGAAGATAGCATGAATACATTTCAGCAGCCGTGCTCCCCAAGTAATCATCTTTCACAGCTTCCATCTGGATACTGCATGGGAGCATCCACTCTTTCACTGTTACTAAAGCTTGGGATGATAATAACCATCAACATCTCACTGCCCTGACTCCGCCTCCTCACAGCTGTGGCACACAGCCTTACAAAGCGGATAACACCCACACTTACAATAAATGGCTGTTTGAGGTTTTCTATGATGTTAGAGTAGGGAAATAAGTGTCAATGTGTTTTGTTAACAGCTCATACATGTTAAGAGAAATAAACACGTGCTGTACCTATGTGTTCTCCACATGCGTCACAGTACTCTGCATAAAGGGACTCGAAGCAGTTGCAGCAGTGTGGCCGTCCGTCCTTCATGATGTAGCGCTGGCCGCCGAGGGTGGTCTCACACTCGTAGCAACGGAAGTGCTTCATGTGCCAGTGCCTGCCCTCCGCCTCAGTGCATTCATCAGCAAAGATAATCTGCATAACAAAGACAGCAAGAGACTCGATTACATTCAATGATAATAAATCAATATTCTAAACTAGTTTTACACATATTAAAAAAAAAGACTTTTAATGCTGCTATAAAAAGCAAAATCATCTCGATGATGATGATGATGATGATGTTGTTGTCTGGCGTACCTTAGGGCACCATCTTCGGCTTATTATAATTTTTATAATCTTTTTAGATGGCCACTCAAACTTAACATGCCACATATTGCCTTCGCAGTGCTATTCCACCAAACTATTATAATATTCCAAACCTGTTAGATTATATTATTTGGATAAGTTAAGAATTTGAGAAAAACTGTATTATTGGGTAGAGCAGAGCATTTTTTTTCTTTATTTAAGCTGTTTATAAACTCACCACCCATCAGAATCATCTTGTGACCCTTTGAAGGGTTCAAATATCGCTAAACTAATATTAGGGATCCAATCATCCAATAACAATCTAGACATTACTCCTACATTTCAATCCAATATTATTGTTAATAAAAAAATCGAATTTCCTTTCCATATCTCCAGCTGGCATAAACCTTGTGTGTTATCAGATAAACATGATGTGTCTGTCATACAGAACTATAAGGAAAATAACATAATTTGTACAAAAAATTCATGAAATGGAAATCATTATCAATATTATTATCATCCCGGGCCAGCTGGCCACACATATGGTTACTTTCAGAGACATGCCAAGGGTACTAAGGTCTTTTCACTCCAGATCAATTTCAATCACATCCAAGTCTCTGAGCTATGAACCATTCAGCCATGTCCAGCCCTGAAGGCTCCAGGCCCAGACAGCGCACCTCATCACAGGCGGTGCAGCGGGGTTTCAGCCTCTCCGCGTGGTGTCGGCCGCAGAAGATCTTGCCATCCTGGTAGAAGTAGATGAGATCCACCAACAGCTCCTCACACATGCTGCAGACAAAGCAATGAGGGTGCCAGACTTTGCTGTGCCCTGCCCTCGCAGCAAAGACCACCATGTCGCCTCCGTTTATTTGACCACCGCACTGTAGGAGAGGAGACAGGGAGAGAGGATAGGATAGGAGATAAGAGAGATAGGAGAAGAGTTAAGGTAAAGAAAGGAAGGGGAAGTAGAAGACGAAACAAAATTAGTTTCAATGATAAGAGAGGAAAGAAAAGAAGAGAAAAGTCGATGGAGGAATTAGGAGAGAAGAGGGAAAGAGAAGAAAGACAATTTGACAAAGTAAGGAAAGGAGAGAAGAGAGGAAAGGTTAAAAAGAAAAGGGATAAAGAAGGAGTGAGAGAAGAAGCCGAGAAAAAGATGAATACAAAATGTATGATTTTGATTTGATGAGACATTTAAAAGCAACCAAGGTAAAGAAAACCAAGAGTGTCATTAAAAAGAATATGCTGAATTTTACAGAAAGAAATAGAAATGCAATTTCTTGAGACAGAAATAAGTATTCAAAGTTTTTGGGATGTTCTGGTATCTTCAATTAGTAAATTGGAAGACAAAAGGGCAAAAGGCAGGATGACTAGTTTTTTTACCTTGTCACAGATGGCGCCACTGATGGTGAGGGGGAAAGGACGGATGTTGCCTCTGCCCAAGTTGTCCTTCTTCCGCTGGTTGCTGAAGATCTTTAGTTCCCGTTTCTCCTCCTCGTCTAACGCGTTACAGTAACGCACCTGAACAACAAAGTTCATCATCAGGAATCCTCATAACATCAAGAAAACTTCTGGAAGTCATTTCAAAGATAAACATGTCAACAAAGATAGGAATTTTCTGTTTTGTTAAAAACGTTTTACCTCATTGTCATGGGGAGGCAACTGGTGCAGCAGCTGTTTGATGCGATATTTCTCTCCAGGGCTGTTTATATAGGGAACCTTTTCTTCGGGTAAGGAGTTATAGTACTGATGCACCTGAAACCAACAAGAACAAACATGTGCTGATCAAATATCAAACCTGAACTCACTGATGATTTGAGAACATCGGGGCGCAGAAACCATCTGTAAAAAGAAATGTATGTATGTATGTATGTATGTATGTATGTATGTATGTATGTATGTATGTATGTATGTATGTATGTATGTATGTGTGCCTTAATAAGATATTCTAGGGGACTTGCTAGTGACATTAGCATTCATTTCAAGTTGTGTTTCTTATGATGAATGTTAGTCTAATCTCATATCTGTTTTGTTTTCTACTTTGTAGTTATTTCACTTGAAATAGCTGATAAAAGCATTAGTGAACCAAAACAGGTATAGGTGGCTGAAAAATCCAAAGAAAGAGCTGAATGATTCTCACAAAGACATATTTCAGTACTCATATGATCCATTATTAAATTAAAAATGATTGACTAGAGTCATGATAAGAACCTGACTTTTACAGTTTTAACTAAGTCCTTATGTTTCTATTATGTACAGTAAAAGGTAGGCTAATATAGGGCCTTCGCAGCAGCCTCCCCCTCACTCTGGAACTCCCTCCCCAGCCACGTCAGATCCGCCAACACTCACATCATTCAAACAATCCCTCAAAACTCACCTTTTCACTTGCCCTTATTCCTCCTAGCTTAGCACTTTCTACTTTTGTTGTTATTTTTGTTTTACTTGCTTGTAAGCGCTTTGAGCACCAGGAAAAGCGCTTTATAAATGTAATGTATTATTATTATTATTATATAATATAATTAAGCAATAGCTCACGACAGGCCGTGGTATATGCTCATTATATCACAGCTAAGGGCCGTGGTTCGGCCCGATGCGAAGTGGAGTGTCGAAAACTGCAGGCAGTTTGCTTTTCAGCCCAACTGTATACTGTTTTTCTCTGGCGGGGAGGGATACTGACTTGTTGCGAAAAGTAACTTACAATTCTACCCGTGGTGTACGCTCAGTATAAGAACCAATCAGATTGCTTGATTTGACTTGTCCGTTTTATAATACTGTATAATTGTACACAATCTACATGATTTTATTAATAAATGGAGACAGACCTGTGTAAATTAATCTGAAATTGCTTTTAAATGAATCCTGGTATTCATGCATTTGTTTTTGCTTTGCCCTTCGCCCTTGGAAATTAGTGTCTGGTTTTTAAAAGTGTGGCCCAATGTGCTCTGTGCTGCAGCTGCTGCAGACACAACCTTGAACAGCATCAGGTGCTTTACATTTTTCATCAGCTAATATTCACATTGCTTAAAGGAAAACTCCATGCTGGCAGTGCAATTAGAAATCAGGATGCAGCATGACTTGTTATCCGTGGCCTGAACCTCCTTTTGTTAGCAGGGGAAATAGAGAAAGACTTGATTGGGTTTGAGAAGTAAACACTCAAAGAAAGGAAGGCAATCTTGAGACTTGTGTCTGATTTTCAGCAAAAAAGCACTGCACACAAAGTGGTTTAGTGTTCAGTGCAGTGTAAAGATCAATTTTGCTGACGTTGTTGTGATCCAATTTACATAATAATCGGGGTGGAGAGCGCGAGGGAGAGGAAGAGTATCTGAGTGCTGCCCCTCAGATTCTATATGGCCCAACCATTTTTATATATTTTTTAAATACTATGTGCATGCCTTTTTATATATTAGTGTTCTATTGTATTCATCTTTATCTACGTATACTTGTTGTAACAACGTAAATGTCCCTTTCCTGGGACGAATAAAGGAAACCTGATTCTGTTTCTGATGTTATACGTCTACACCAGTGACCATCAACTGGTGGCCCGCGGGCCACATCCGGCCCGCACGGCGGGTGTGACTGTGGCGTTGGCGGAGTAGTTAGTGCGTTCACCCCCCACTCATTTTTTTTTACAACGCCTCGTGAGTAATGTGCAGTACCGGAGTCCAACAGAGGGGCAGCAGCTGCAGGACAGTAGGCTGCGTACTGCGTAGCCTTCCCTGCCCTGCAGAAGAAGGGATCCTTGGTTAGCGTGAAGAGTCTGCTAAATGCGCTCCGCAGTAGCCCCGCTGCGAGGCTCCAGCGAGCTGACAGTACATGCAGCGTGCTCCACTAGCACCCAGGGCCGTCCCTCCCTACACCTTGCGGAGGGTGCCTCAACTGAGCCGGAAATGCGGCGCACCTATGCGCTTATGCGGCGCAATTAGTGTGGCGCGGCACGGTTTCGCCGCTGCGAGGCTCCACTAGCAACCCTCAACCCCCCCCAAACATGTGAATCTTATATAGGGCTGCTCCCCCTGTGTTAACACATTTTTGTATTTGTAAATGTTGGTTTTGATTACATTTCATAGCAATTATCTAGAGTCCAAGGTGTCATCTTTATTCTGCTTATTTTGTCTGGCCAACAGTCAAAAATCCAAAAGTATTTAAGTAGAAGAGTAACAAAAATAGAAAGTGTTCCTAATTGAAAAGATCAAGTGAATTTGTGCTTAGAAACTTACTTCAGGTTAATCAGCTATCCACATTTTTGCTACTTAGTTGAATGTTTACTGATGTTTTGGTAAACTGACAAATAGTTTCAGCTCGGTTTGAAATGATAGAAAGCCCTGTATCACCAAATATTGTATTCTACAGCTCTTGATGTCACCATCTGTCTGTATGTCCTGTTTTATTTTTTAAAGTGTTCACCCATCGTGTCATATCTGTCATTCCTTCCTGTCTCTGTGTTTTCCCTCCTGTTTAATTACCTGATTCTGTCCACCTGGTGCCCTTGTGTTTTTCCTTCCCTCCCCAGCTGTGTCTTGTCTTGTCCTTGTGATTAGTCTTGCATATATTTAAGTTCTGGTTCCCTATTAGTTGCCATCAGATCCTTGTTTGTCATTTATGGAAGAGGTCTGTTCATATTGTTTTTGCCAGGCCCTACTTTATCTAAATCACATGCCATTAAAGGTATCTCTGACTTCGACTTTTGTGTCCTGTATTTGTGTCCACCCTGCTCTGCTTGAACCTGACACTTATGTTAACTTTTAGTTTAATTGAGAAGTATAAATACATTATTAAAATAATATAAAATATTATCTTTAACTATTTTAGTTTGTGTTGGAAAATGGATCCTAGAGAGTCAGTAGTAAATTGTCCAGTCAAGTAATGTCAGTTACAAGCGCATGTTTATGTCACAAAATGTAATACGTTCTGACAGCTCAAAGAACAGCACTGCTTGAGATAATTCTTTTCTTTTAAAGTCTGTGTCACACTAATGAAATCGCGCGGAGAGGAAACCCGAAGTGACAGGCTTTAAAATCATTATGTTTAAGTGCATTGAAAAAGCAACAGGCAGCTGCAATTGCCTTCACCCCCTGTTGGCTGAGAGAGAATGCAGCCTCTTTCAGCATCCCGTCAAGATGGCTGACTGGAGAAAATGACTGTTATCAGGGCGGCCTCTCATCTGTTAACAGAGCCCTAAGAATGCTGCCCTTACTATATAAAGACAGAGGTGTTTAAAGCCAATAACGCTGCACAGAACTGTGTTTATCTTATGTAAAAAAAAAATGATTACGAAATATCTTCCTCTTGATGTGCACAATTGATTACATTAGCTTGGTCATGCATGCAATTAAAAGGCATTTAAACTGCAAATGAGTCCAGACAGGAAATTGTGAAACCTGGATGCATAAACACATTGCCACACATTTCCAATTAGATTCATCCAAACATTCACTGACTCAAATTGCTTCCATTCCTCTGGGTTTAGGTTTGCACGGATAGACTAAAATACAGAAGAAATCGAGGCTAAGCATACCAAATCCATTAAATGGGAAAATAACAATATGGCAACAGTTCTAAAGTGATATTTTCCTCTCATAGTTTTGTGAGAAATCATGTGAAATTAGCTTTTTTGTTTAGGGGGGGAAGGACTCCAAATAACCCTATGTTTTTGAATAACGTTTTGATTGATATGTGATTACATATTTTGATAGATGAAAATGTGCTCAATTGATCTCATGGTTGTCATTCTGGCTGAGTGTGATCTTGGTTCATACACAGTCAGCTTGAACACTGACAGATGAAAAATGTCCTTACAGTTATTCTTCCATGAAGCGCCTGACAGCTGAGTCTCATTGATTTGTATGTCGGCCCTGCCCTTCCCTCCTCCACCCTTCAACACTAATGGACTACGACAAATAAAACACCATGAAGGGGATTTAAAAACGGTAATGATACATTGTCTTGTTTTCAGATCAGTGAATTTTCCATTTTGGAAAATGCCACAGATACTTTATGTTCCAAGGGAGTCATTTTGAAAGATTTGCTTTAGTTTGATACGGTCTGGCTATGCTGAGAAAAAATATGTCTTTGCTAATGCAGCACTTAGGAGCGACAGGGAGGGAGGTGTGTACTGGGCAAGTTAAATATATTGTGTACCTGCTCAGGACTGAGGCCGGGGGGGACCCAGGCATATTCCTCCAGTGCACATCCAGAGTCATCATCAGAGGTGGAGTTCCTCTGGAAGTCGTACATCAGCTTGGTGATGGTCTTTTCCATCTCCAGAGACATGGCTGTCACAACATGCTCCTCTACACAAACCGCTTCAGTGGACACAGGTATTCCTGTTGAGGAAACAGAGGAGACACTGAGAAAGAGTCGGAGAAAAGGCTTCAAATAAAAACAGGATAGGAGAGTGAGCACAAAGAGAAAAAAATGGGGAGGTAGCAAAGTCTTCCTCTTATCAGAATTCCAGACTATATGTGGCATGTACAGATTTAGATTCACCTGTGGATAAACATTAGGTGCAGCAGAGCAAAATAAAATATATCTGTGAAACATGCTTCCCTGTATAGCATATTCAAAACCAAAAACACATCAGTTGTTCAGACCTATACAATGCAAGGTGCTTTAGGGCTGTAGTTGGGCACAGGAGGCTTTAAGGTACATGTTAATGTCAGCAGGTTAACACTCATCTTAGTTCAATGTATGTGTATGCAGAGTAGCATTTAACAAAAAGTACAGCTGAGGCTGATGGGAATGTTGTTAGTCTTGCAGCTATCTGGTTATAAAAACCAGACAATCCATCCAATAGTTATACATCCTGCTGGTGGAGGAAAAGTTGGGAGATCATCCAAGTTGTTAAGATTTATCCTCTGTTGACCACAAATATTTGTACAAAATGTCCTGATTTAATATCTAACTGTAAACATCTTACAGTCAAATGGAAATGGAGAAATTTGTGGAAATCATAATTTTGGATTTTTACAAACTTTCATGACAATCTTCCTAAAGAAATGTTAATCTGGACCAAAACGATGGACCGGCTGACAGTCTGCAATGCTATCCCTAAATCAACAAAAATCTGTAAAAACAATTACTTATGTAGTTCCAGGGTATTTTGTATCTATATTGCAGACACCGCTGTGTGCATTCAGTGCCTTTATTGAATGAATAGATTAGAGATTCAAATCAATCTTATCCTCCTCCTTCTTTCTGTCTGAGAGAACAGCTGCACACATTACTGACACATGAATAATTAACAGGTGCAGGTATCGCCTCCACCACCAAAATACAAAAATGATATGCAACTAATTTGACAGACAACGAGTATATTTAATGATCCAGCACCAAGAGCAAGCACGAGTTCTGTTTACATTTCATGGCTTATTGATTTATAAACTGATGAAGGGAGAGATATTAGAGTCAATTAGTGCCAAGTGGAAGGTTTCTGACAATGTTAAAAACGTACAGAAATATGTAAAATCCATTGTGTTTAATAAGCTTGTTGATGTTGTTACTGAGAAGATGCAATCTGATCAATGTGGAGATGCCAGCACAAAAAAATGATGTGTTTCTGCAGGTCATGTATCAAGGTCATAGCAGTTAACTGACAGAAACAACACGGCATGGTGGTCGGTGAGAAAGTGTGAACGTTCCCTGATATTTCCGATTCAAAACAATTGCACAACACAGGTCTTTTCAAGCAGTTTCAGACAGCAACACCATTTCCCGCAGATTAGAAAATCACAAGAAAAACAGAGCGTAAGCAGTAGCCAAGGAACAGCAGACATTTCCACAGCCTGAGCCAGTGAGTCAGCCTCCATCCAAGCAGAGCTGAGTACTGTTTATCTCTCTAAGATGGGTGCTGCTGATTTCTTTGTGAGGATGGATCACAGGTATGTAACCTTCAGCCTGTAGCCTGGCCCGAGGCTGTTATTCATTAGTGCACAGAGGCTGAGGGAGAGAGGGCCTGCTGGGAAACCTGCAGCCTGTTGCGCCAGCTAGACATCAGATAAAATGTGACCTAAGTTGGCTAAATTAAATCACATCAGTGAGCTGCTGACCAGGGGTGGTTCTAGGGGGGGGCCCTCCTAACACTGACTTTGGACCCCCCTGTGGCCCCCCTGAAAATGAAAAAAGAAAAAAAAAAAGTTTATGATGAAATGATTTGTTGGCTGACGGAATAGGCGTAACTAACGCTATTTGTCATTCTAGTCGGAACCATTAGAGCAGGGGTCTCCAACACGTTGATCGCGAGCTACCGGGAGCTCGCAAGCCCTCAATAAGTAGCTCGCCAAGCAAATCCGAAATGTAAAAAATACACAAAAAAAAAGGGAATGTAATTAAAAGAATCTACCCCATGCATAAACGAAACCTCAATCATAGCGAACTCTATCTACTCACTACAACTCTATATCTATCGAACATCCCCCTCCCCCCCCACGTTGTTTAACCAATGCAAGGAAACAAACAACTACTCGGCTCTAAATTGAAAAACGTGTCTCCGGTGAAGAGTAAACGCTACTACTGTATCTACACGTAGCTGTCCGGTAATGTCTTCTGTTGATTTGGTGTATTGGCTGCTGGGGGAGCGGTTCGGCTGTCACCAGCTGCCTGCCCCCTTCTAATTTCTTCTTCTGTGGTGTTTATTTGTCGTATGCCAAACAATGGAGGCTCATTACCGCCACCCACTGGACTGGACAGTGGCAGGAGACATATTGAAATAAAACAAACGAAACCTCCTCAGCTCTCTCTATTAATCCACATGGTGATATTGTATTTTCTATGAATTAGTATTAATTCCTGTCTTTATTCCAGGGGCGGTTCTAG